GCGCCGCTGCTTCATTATGAGCGTTTATTAACTGCGATTTATGGGGGAATGTCTTTTAATTTCAATTTCCTTTCGTTTATGTCTGCACATGTGTGTGTGCTTCGCCCTTTACTTTCCAATTGGCAATGGTTTATTAACAGTGCTCACCACAAGCCCCGAGACCCACTTCTCCAGCTCAACCATTCGTTTTCCATTGCCAAATGAACTCCACACTCTGCTACAACTTTGTTCAGCGCTTGTACGCACTGCTTGCAGTTGGCGGCTGCTGCTTTGGCAGCCTTGAACTGCGACGGCAACGGCGACGGCGACGACGACAACGCCTCTGCGTGGGCAAGACTGTGCGCTTCGATACACTTTGCTGAAGGTAGTACACTTTTGAAGCCACGTCTGTTGGTCTGTTCTTTAGCATTTGCACCGCTGCTGCAAGAGTATCCAACCAATCGGTCATCGGTAGATGGGTTTTTGTTTCTTTCTTATAATCTTTTTTAATCTTTTACCTTTTCTGGCATTTTCCCCAATGCAGTTTTTTTTTGTCTCGTTATCCAAAATAGTTGCAAAATTTCAATTAAATATGCAAATCTCAGCGGAAATTAACTTTTACGGACAAAGTGGAAGCCGTTTGGGAAATTGCGGGAATTATAGACTCCACAAACATTTGGGGACTGAGACTACCTTGGGTGGCATACAAATGACTAAAAGAGATTATAGCTGCAAATTGTCGGTTGAGGAACAGTTCAGCCAACCCATTTTCCTATATAATCTACTTTGGTTTCCAACCCCACCCATCAGCGAATAGAAACAGGCACATTCCCGCTTTTTCTTACCAAATCGCATTCTGAATCGGTAATTCGCCAGCACCGAAGAGCAGGAACCAGCCCAACGGCCATGACAAATGTTAAGAAAGCGCCCAATAAGCATTCCAATAAATTGCGTTATGCCAGCCACTGAGCGCTGGAGTGGAGTGGAGAACTTTCTACTTCATTTGGAATGCAAAACAAATGTCAAGGTGTTAGGGATGATACAAATTGGAGCTTCGTGCGTGATTTTGGATCAATTAAAGTAAATTAAAGGAGGAACACAAGCCTAGCAGGCAAGCAGTTAAAATAGGGTCAAATGTCCCCACGGTCCACACTGCTTTGTTAACTGTTGCACAGAGCAAAGCAGCAGAAGCAGACCCTCACAGCCACATGGTGGGAGAGAGAGCACGAGCCGGTCAAGCAGTGCATCAGGCTCTGGTAATGAGGCTCTCTGAACTGAATGTAAATCACCGCCAAAAGCTAGATACAATTATCTGAAAATTATCTGTATCAAAAAGTTGTTGATTATGAAGTTTGCATCTCTCACCCTCACCCTCACCCGCACCCTCACCCATCGCTAGCTAAAGGCAAAGCCACTTCCAGTTCCAGTGCTAGAGCCAAAAGCTTGATTCGTTTTGTTGGATGAGAGCGACAATTTGTAGACGACTCTTTTGCTGAATTGCATTTTGATTTGCCTGGCCATAATTGTTGCTGCAGTTGCAGCTCTTGCTGTTGTTGTTGCTTGTTGGTTGTTGGTTAGTTATGTTTTTTTGTGGGCAGAGCGAATGAGTGAGTCACAGTAGTTGGCTTCACCTACCCAAGCCCCAATTGATGTGTGCACAAACACACACCCTAAAACGGCAACCCAGTTTCATAGTTGCCAGCTTGAAAAATCAGTTTTACAGTCACGTCTCGTCGTCGTCGTCGTCACCGTCATCGTTGCATCGAAATAAGCCATCGTCCCGTACTGGCACTCGCACTGCTCGCATCTGGCAATCATCTGTGTACCCAGCGCTTCACCACGCACGTACCGGCGGCACAAACCAAGAGGTGGAGCGGTAAGGGAGTGGGAGAGAGGGAGAGAGCTCCTTCAAGAGGTCAAAACTGTTAATTTTTGTTGTTCTCTGTTGAACTCCCTCCTGCTTTGTCTGCTGTCTGCTGTCTCTCCCTCTCCTCATTGTTCAGCTGCAGCTTTCCCCCAGTTCGGCAAACGTTCCGTTATTAATTCGTCACGATTGACTGGCAGCTGTGTGCCGCGTCTGTCTATTGCTGCTGCTGCTGCTGCTGCTGCTGCTGGCACTGAGGCTACGGCTTCGGCTGCTGCGGCTGCGGCTGCTTAAAGGGAAATGAGTGAAAAGCTGTCACAGGCCTGCCGTTCCCGTTCCCGTTCCCGTTTACCCAATTGCTCTGCGGCTGTGCCATTGGCCGCACGTGGCCCGTGGACTTTGCTTCTAAGTGCAAGCCCAGAGCTGCAGCCAGCAATGTGATATTCGAACAAGATACGAACAAGAGCTGCTGTTGTTGTTGCTGTCGTAAAGTGAACGCATTGAAACTTGACCAGAAGATTTCCACACCCCAGCTGATGCGTACTGCTTGAATTGAATAATTGCTCAACTGCTTGACTGCGCTGGCAGGGATTACTTCTAAGTTTACTTGTGGAAATTGGAGCCCGAAAGTGTTGCCCCGAGTTGGTATTGCTTTTTTCTTTTTCATCTGCATCAAAGCTCGGCTTTAATTATGGATTGCCATTTCGCCACATGGTTCCCATGGCAAGGGCAAAAATTCATCAGGCATCGGCATCGGCATCGGCAACGTCCAGCTTTCCTTTTCAAAAGAAGAGCCAACAACAACAACAACAAAGGAAAATACAGTAAGAAAAACATGTTGCAACTTTCTTCGTTTTGTGGCCATAAGGTCATCCAGTGTGTCTGTCTGTTCCCCACTCGGTCTCGGCCTGGCCTTCGCTGTGAAAGTGCAGTCGGCGACATGCCGCGCATAGATCGTTAGAGTTCAAAAGACTCAGGCCACGAACTCGTTTTCCCATTGACGACAAGTGTCATTCCATGCCATGCCATGCCATCGTGCCACAAGGCTTTAAAAGAAGAGCCACCAGAGGATCCAGCCAGCCTGCCTTGCACTTTTGAATTGTTTGTCTTGTTGCAGGCGAAAGCGAATTTTTTTTTTCGTACCAGCTGCAGTCGAAAATCCAAAGACAAACAACAAATTTCAAAGCCAAGGCGAGGCACGGCGCAAAATGAAAGTGTTTTTGTTGCGGCTGGTTGGTGGGGGTCCGTCCCCCCACCACCACCCCGAGCAAACAAGTTTCGGCAGCATTGGCGGCAGGCAACATGTTGCGCGAAAAACATGTTTACAAGCCGGGCCTCCCCCCCTTAACTGCACTCAACTCTCAGGCCCCCAGCAAAATGCATTTTCCTAATTAGTGGCCGTGCGAAAGAAAAGCGAAAACGGACAGTGGCACAGCAGCAGGCGTATCATTTTGTTAGTTAAAAATACATAAAACTATTAAAGAAACAAATAATTATATGCATGAAGTATGCACAATGTACATATGTGCCGTGCCTACATCAATAATTGTTAACGATTCATTGAAGCCTCTCATTGGCTTTTCCCAAAAGGACATTGGTGCCAATTGCCTTGGCTTTGTCATTCAGCAGTGACGCTCAATGCCTCTCTTGGGGATGTTGCCGTTGCGCACTGCTTCGCCGGAGTAGCTATCGCAACATTTGCCCACTGCTTGTCACATGACTGCTGGCGGTGGTTGGGTAAATCAGAACCCAACTGCACTTCAACTTGGAATTGGGCATCCTCGGTGGCTTTATTTTCGAACAACCAAATATCCAGCCACTCTTCTTGGTTTAAAAAATTTGTTTACTTTGCTCTTGAGTTTCTTGTAGAAGATTGTCTACGAGCCAGATGGCTTAAACTAATCGTTTAAAAATAATTTATTATTTAAGACACAAAAGCTCCATGAATGCCACATACAATTCTTTGTTTTTTCCAAACTTTCCACGGATAGAGGTGAACAAAAAGAAATGATATATATGCCGGCCATTGGTTAACGATTGTTTAACAATCTCCTTGCAGCCCATGGAATGCCTGAACATCCAATTTCACACAGTGTTAGTCCGTCTTGGGGGGGATCAGATCAGCAGTTCACGTAGAACGCAGAAAGCAATGGGAACACGCGGGCGCACACACAATCAACATGGGGCGAATAATCTGAAAATATGTAAATATGTTAAGCAAAATGAAACAAATAAACAATAAGCAGCGAATAAACAACAACAAGTAAAGGAAACGCAGAAACTTTCTTTTACGCTGAAGTTGCGCAGTCGCTGTCGCTGTCGCTGTCGCTGTCGACGCTGGACATTGGGGCGCTGTTCGCTTGACATTGGACTGCTTTGACTTTGGTACTGCTTTGACTTTGGCTGCTCTGCTTTCTGTTGTTGCTGTAACTTTTGATGTTTGAGTTGCTGCTGCTGTTGTTGTTGTTAAATGGTTTTGGTGTTGGCTTTTAACTGGAGCATACCAAATAAATGGCCCTCGGGCGTGTGGGATGGGATGTTGGGCTGGGGCGTGGCGTGGTGTGGTGTGGCGTGGCGTGGCGAAGGGGAATCTGCTGCTACACTGTGCTAAATTTGGCAGTTGTTGCTGGTGAGCAGCTCGGACAATTAGCACCTGTTCGGTTGGTTAGTTTCGGGTTTCTCGCGCATGTCTACTCCATTACCAGCTTTTGTAAGTCGAACACCTCGCGCACTATTGTTGAACAAAAGTTTTCCAAAATTTGTTTTGCAGATGAAAAAGTCCCGCGATGTGGACAAAACGTCATCACCGGGGTCACAGGTACACACACATACCAATGCGAATGCTGCTTGCAATATAGCGGCAGCGACGGCTACGGCGGCTGCAGTAGCAGCAGCAGCAGCAGATAAAAAGAACAACAACAACAATTGCAGCAATCGCAACAAAGACAAATCCAATTTGCAGACAAATGGAGGAGGAGGAGGAGGAAAAAATTGGAAGGTAAGCATAAGCATAAGCGTAAGCGTAAGCGTAAACGCAAGCGTAAATTGTAATTAAATATGAATTTGTGCGATAATTAAAACAAAGAGAAAAACAAAAGGAAAAGCTATCAATTCGCCGAAAGAGAGGGTGGCAGAGACAGAGCGAGAGAAACAGAGATGGAATGAAGGAAATGTGTGTGTGTGTTTTGCGTTTGTTTTTGTGATGTAACACGAAAGCTTACACACTGCCAACCAGCACGTGCGCCACGCATAATGCATTCGCGCCAGCAGAAACGAAGAGAGAAGAAGAGCAGAGCAGAGTAGAGCAGCACCACTGCTTGGAGCCGTTATACGGCCGAGTGACTTTTGACTTGGCCGCGTGCACTCTCTTTCTCTCACTCTCTCTTGCTTCCACACTCGTCTTTGGGTTAAGAACGAGGGATCAGGCTGCAGCCCCGAAACTGTTGCTGCCTTTCTTCCCTCTTTGAGGGAAAGAGACTGCGAGAGCGGTACAATTACAACACAATGCTAATAAGTTTGCTCAATAAAAAAGCGTTGACCGATGCCCGCGATTATGAAATGAGGAAACCATTTCTGTTTAATTACACTTTTTCCCCCTGCTCATTTGTTTTATTATTGTTATGCTTGTCTCTGCTTTGTCTCTGTCTGGCTGGCAGCATCAGCATCACGCATCAGCTCAAGAAATGTGGGCCATGCGATGACCCGTTTACAGAAAAATAGCAGCAGCAGCAGCAACAGTGGCTCTTTTTTTTTTGCCTTGCTTTCCTTGCTTGCGCATTAATTATTTTCTAAATTGTGTCTGCTGTGTGTTCTGTTTTGCTGCTTTCGCAATTGCAACATAAAAACCAAACCGCATTCGAGCTTCCCCCTCGCATCCGTTATGTTACGTGCTAGTTAAGCTTAAATAATTAATAAATCAACAGACAGGCAGAAGCAGAAGCAGAAGCAGGCTCTTAAAGGGAGAGGCAGCCTGTTTGGCCTCCCCACATTATTGACTGCTTGAGGGTAGAGTTTGATTGAATAATTTAATTTCAAATGGGCAGATTTAACATAAAGTAATGGCTCAAAATGCTCTATAGCCAAGAAATCAGCAATTAGCAAGTAGTTTGAGTAAAAACTTCTACAAACCACCTCAGTGTACGTTCATTTTGAACACGATAAATGTAATCGCTGCAATCGCTGTTAAAGTTGATGAAAATGTTCTTGTTCTGTTAGGCTTGGCTTAGTGTGGTGAAACGCTGGCAGGAGACCGGCTCTGCTCAGCGATCAGCTGTTCCGTTTCATTAAGCGCGCACAATTCAACCAAAACAAAAAAAGTGAAGTCGAAAAAGGTTTTGGCCTGGTAATTTCCTTAATTAAAACGAGAAGAGAAGCTTCCGTAACTTCAATGCTGTGCAAATTCCCATGTTGCATGCCATATTTGCATGCACCAGCCACATAAACAACAGCCACAGCAACAATTTCGCGTCGAAGTAAAGATTTTTTCTGCCAATGAATGGCGATGGATGGATGGAGTTGGGCGATGGGCGATGGAATGGACTGTGTTGTTCGTTCCGTGTGTGGATTTAACGGCATGATTTGGCGTAAAATCAAAGCATTTAAGGCGCTTTAGTGGTCATTGACCAAATTGCCGTGCTTAATGATTAAAAATCTGATACGAACAAAATGTTTTCTTTTCGTTGCGCAGGGCATCGTCCACAGCAATCCAAATCCCAATGGCAATGGCAGTGGCAATGGCAATGGAGGAAATGGAACTGGCACCACAGCCCTGCCCACGAAGGTCTTTCACAATACACGCTGTACGCGGCACCACAAGCCACATCACAGCCACACCAATGGCGGAGTAGGAGTAGGAGGAGGAGCAGCAGCGGTCGCTGGCGCCGCCACGAATGGCCTGGACCTGGCACGGGAAAGGGAGCGCGAGAGGGAGAGGGAGCGCGAAAGGGAACGTGAACGTGAACGTGAACGCGAGCGGGAGCATCATCTGCACATGCACAACCACGCCCATGGCCTGAGGCGCAAGTCCGAATCAGTTCTATCCACAGACTCTGATATCAGATTCACGCGACGCAAGCTGGGCGATGGCCAGAAATGTGGCTGCGCCGTGATTGCCGGGTTCCTGATAGCGCTGCTCGTCGCTGGCGCGTTCGTCTATGTGGGATGTGAGTGTGGCGTAGATCTGGTCCACAATTCAGTTGATATTTCCCCCCTCTCTTGGCAGACACTTACTTCCGACCGGAACCATTGCCGGATCGCGTATTTCGTGGCCGCTTCATGGTGCTCAACGACAAGTGGAGCATGGATTTGGCCAATCAGAACTCGCTGCGTTTCCAGCACAAGGCCAGGGACTACAGGGAGCGCATCAATCTCACGCTCAGGCGTTCCGATTTGCGTGAGGCATACGAAGGCAGCGAGATCCTAGCGCTCGATGGGTGAGTAGCAGGCAAAGTTCGAGAGGAACAGAGAGTCAAGTTTTATTCTTATGCCCCCCCTCCCCCAAACAGCAGCGAGGATAACAACAACATAATTGTCCACTTTAATATGATCTTTGATCCGTATGCGGGTCTGGTGAGCAGCGGCGAGCTGCTGGCGCTCTTCCATGAGGAAATGAGCGACCAGCAGCGTCGGCACTTTGCCAACATGACCGTGGATGTGTCCAGTTTGAGCATCAAGGAGACAACCGGCCTCATCGAGGAGCCCATCATGTCCAGCTCGCCGCTGGGCGGGCACGATGAGACAACGGAGCCCGTGGTGACCACCACACCAGCGCCACCGCGTCGCTGTGTGCCGCTGCAGCTGAACTACTGCCGCCAGTTGGGCTACAATGTGACAACATATCCGAATTTGCTGGGCCACGCCAGCTACGAGCAGGTGGCCGACGACTTGATTGTCTTCCGTGAGCTGGTCGACGGGGAATGCTATCGCGAGGCGTACGACTTTGTGTGCCGCCTGCTGCAGCCGCCGTGTGATATGCACGGGACGAGTGTACAGCCCACGCCGGGGCACATATGCCGCGAGTACTGTGAGTCGTTTATGGCCGGCTGTGGCAGTCGTTTGCCGCAACGCTTTCGCCAGTACTTCGACTGCGAACGCTTTCCGGAGTCCACGGGCACACAGTCGTGCCAGCAGAAGCCTCACTGTGTCAGCGATATGCAGAGCAATGTGCAGAGTCCGCGTCTCTGCGATGGCTATGCGGATTGTCCGGATCTGTCCGATGAGCGCAGCTGCGCCTTCTGCTCCCCCAATGCACTGTACTGCGGCAGGGGCCGGGCATGTGTGCCGCGCAAGGCGCGCTGCGATGGCAAAGCGGATTGTCCCGATGGTGCAGACGAGAAGGATTGCCGTGAGTGTAGCTCAGTGCCTGCAGTCCATTCAATCCAATCATTCAATTCAATTCAATTCATTCAATCTTGCAGTTTCCATTGCACCATTGGCCGCGGATTTGCTGCAGCCGGAGCCACTGGTGCCGTATCTGTCCCGCTTCCATGCCGCTGGCTATGCCGTCTTCTCGGAGAAGGGCGTCGTGGGCAAGCTGTGCGCCGAGGGACTCGAGGGCGATGCCAAGCTGGTGGTGCGCCAAACAGTCTCCGAATCGCTATGCAAATCGTTGGGCTATGAGTGAGTGCGCCGCAGGCTCCCAGGCTCCCAGGCTCCATGTACCCAAAAACTGACTTCTTCCCCCCTGCAGATCTGTGGAAATCTTTGACGTGCAGAACGACACCGAACAGCTGACGGATTATGTGCGTGTCCTGGATCCGCATGCGCCCGAAATAAGCTTCATTCGCACGCACTGTCCGCGGCGTCAAGTGCTTTATGTGGGCTGCGGGGAGCTGCGTTGCGGCGTCCAGTCGGCGCTCTTCAATGCCAAGCAGCATTTGTCGCTGCCCAAGATGTCGGCACCGGGGGACTGGCCCTGGCTGGTGGCCCTCTTTCGTGAGGATATTCACGTGTGCGATGGCACACTCATCTCACAGGACTGGGTGCTCACCACGGAGGGCTGCTTTCAGGGCCAGCCACGGGCCACCTGGATGGCCATTGTGGGCGCGGTGCGGCTCTCGGCCAAGGCACCGTGGACGCAGCGTCGCCGCATTATCGGCATGATCAAGAGTCCCGTGGAGGGCTCCACAGCGGCGCTGGTGCGGCTGGAGACGCCCGTCAGCCTCTCGGATCACGTGCGTCCCATTTGCCTGCCCGACGCACTGCAGCGTCGACAGCTGCTGACGGCGCCCGCGGTGCAGCGGCGCGCCTATGTGCCAGTGGCCGAGCGGCTGGAGGGGCAACAGCCGATGCAAGTTCAAGTTCAGCGCAGTCCGCTGGCCCAGGAAACGCAGCAGTTCTTCCTGATACCCTCGCAGGAGCAAATGGAGGGCTCTGGCAGCACAGAGGAAGCGCCAGAGGAGGAGGAGGAGCAGCAGCTCAACAGGCGACATTATGCACAGCAGGCAAAAGCTGCCGCCTCGTACATGCCCCGAGCAGAGGCACTGCACCAGGAACTGGATTCCTATCCGCTGCCCGAGCATGCGCCGCAAGTCAACTATTACGGCAGCAGCAGCAGCAGCAGTTCCTCCTCCTCCTCCACAGCACGCTCGGCCACTAAGCCAGTCGGAGCCCAGCCTGTGCAGTCAGCGGCGCAGGAGCAAATCTGGACAAACTGCAACACGCTGGGCTGGTCCCGGCAGCGGGATCATCTGCAGCGTGTCCAGCTCAAAATCGGCGACATGGCGCCCTGCGAGAATGTGTCTATAGCCACGGTCAACTCCATGTGCATGGAGGCCACCTACCAGAAGTACGACTGCACGGTGAGTGATAGCAGATAAAAAGTATTCCAAGAGAGAATGAGAGGCGGAGGTGGCGCTTGCATGACTCTGTTATGGCACTGTTAAGCCTATATGTTTAACAGTACGTGGCTGCACTCGCATGCGAGTTCGTTTTGCGAGTGTGTTGCTCGCATGCGACAACAATTACAGCTCATGTTTATCTCGCATGCGATTTCCTTTTGCAAGCGTTTTGCGATACCAAAATGATCGAGTTTGTTTTTTTATATGGACGGCTTAAGAGAAAATACTTGAGTTTTAGCATTTTCCACTCCATACATTTTTAAATCAAATTCAGAATTATTCACTTGAAAACTTGGAAAACTATAGAGCGGAGCAGCCTGAGGGATAAAAACTCGAAGTTCTGTAAATTAAATTAAATCCCCATTCGGAGCACAGCTGAGAGCGCGCTCTTTGAGTTTATCCGTGAGCCTCGATTCAATCAGAATTCAGTCTTTGTCGCTTACACTGCATGTACTTTGTTTTGGGCATTCTCCTTGTCACTTTTCGCTGCCGCAGAATACTCGTAAATGCAAATATTTTTAGTAATTAATTTGTATACATTTATTTGGGTTTAGTTTTGGTTTCAAAATAACAGCGGTTCAACCTTAATGCTTACAGTTACCATGAGTATATCGTATAGTTATGTAATTATGTATGTATTTATGTATATACTGTGAGGGAGGCTATGTACAACGATGTTTTTTGGGTGGCTTCCAGGCTAAATGCGTATGGAGCGCATGGCAGGCAGCGGCGCAATAGATGCACTTCGCTTGGGCTTGACACATACGTCCAGACGGAGCCGCTTGGCCTGTGGCTCCTCCTGTCTAGCACTGATCTCCGCCTCCCGCTGCAGTTGCTGCTGTTGCTGCTGCTGCTGCAGTGGCTGCTGTTCTCTTAGGAAGCAATTCTGACGACGCACTGGAGCCGCCTCGGAGCTGGATCTGGGCAATGAGCCGAGAAAACAGTTCTGCCGATAGACAGCCACTGGCGTGTATTCCTCCGGCTGGTAGGCGGTAGCATTCGCTTGTGCCTGCTCCAGCTTCGTCGCCGGTTCTGTGTGACGCTTCCGCTTTATGGCTGGGTTCAGGCTGTTCAGGCCTCGGCGCAACTTCTGCCAGCTCAGTCGCAAATGGAAAGTGATCTCCGGGCAGGGGAAGAGCAGCAGAAAGTATTCCAAGAGTTGCGCCTCAAAGATGTAGCCCTTGCCATTGGTCAGCAGCAGGGCTTCCTTTTGTGTCTCCGGAATGCTAAAGCGGGCCATGGCTGCAAGAATTGTTGTTGTTGATTATATTTCTTTTCGATTCTCTCTCGCTTTTGTGTTATTTGTATGTGACTCACCTTGGACTATGATCTCCTCGTAGCTATTGCCCGCCTCGCAGATGATGAAGCTCGTCTCGCCCTGGAAGCAGATCTTCAGGCAGCACTTAATATCCGACATGTTGATTAAATTATTTTGTTGAACAGCGACAAATTATTCCTTCTTCTTTTTCCACACTCTTTTTGTCGTGTGTGCGATCGCTGGAACGGTTGCCAAATAAATGCATTCCAGTGGCCGTTCGCTCGTTCTATTTATATGCTGCTGCCTCCCCCAATCCATCCCTACCCCTCCCCTACCCTGACTCTATTTCTTTTCATGCTCTCTATTTGCCTGTTCGCTGCAGCTGCAGTCGGGCTGCTGTTGCTATTTCCATTGTAGGTAAGCGGCGCTTCTTTCGCTCCTTCTATCCCAGGTAGTCGTGCGTAACGGGGGTTAGTGCTGTTCCTCCATAGAGAGAGAGAGAGAGAGAGAGAGAGAGATAGAGAGCGGCAGGCAGCGAGCGATCTAGAGAGCGGGAGAGAGTTAGAGAGCGCACTGGAAAGTGCCGCTCAGCTTACTCATTCACCAAAACACAACACGTTCCTGCATGTCGCGTGCTGTGTGACGTCAGCAATAACGGGGAGAGGTGGTCGTTGATTAAAATTGATTGTGAAATTCGACAGTTGGAACAGCGGGGGGAAATGTTTGAATGGGAGTTGTGGCCGAAAATACATATGATGAAATGAATATTAAATCTATTTTATGCCTTTAAACAATAATTAATAACAAATGATGTATTTTTTCGATAGCAAGAGGAATACTCTGGCGCGCCAGTGCAATGCCTGATACCAGGCACCAATCAGTGGGCCCTCATTGGCGTCTCCTCCTGGCGCATCGCGTGCGGCCCCACTGGTGTGGAGCGCCCCCGCATGTACGACAAGATCGCCTCGAATGCAGCCTGGATACGTGAAACGGTAAATGCGGTATAGCATTTGCACCTCCCCCCCCCCCCCCCCCCCCCCCCCCCCCCCACCCCCCCCTTTTCTTTTTTTTAAAAAAAAAAAAAAAAAAAAAAAAAAAAAAAAAAANAAAGAGGAGAAAGAAACTTAACTGCTACTAACTGGGCTCCCTTCATTACCACATACTATTCATTTTTATACGTAATCTACTCTATTTTATTTTACTTTATATATACATTTTTTTGCTGTTTTGTGTAATATTTATTAACTATGCTGTAGTTGTATGTTAAACATGTCGAAAATGAAGCAAATGTAGTTGTTAGATAATTAATTTTAGCTGTTTGTAGAAAGATACTTATTGTTGAATAAAACCTAAATCAAGCGAAATGAACTGCTTTCAAGCAGTTCGCAACTTAGGTGGCAACGTGCATGGACTGCCATTTGCCGTTACTCTGCAGGCGATACTGCACTCGATCGGCGATCTGGCCCTGGCCCACTTTGAGAAAATCCCAGAGTTGGGGCTGGAATTTCCAGCCAGTGCTAAAGCAAAAATGTCGGGTTAAATACTAAGTATGTCTGAGGATAAGGCATGGGAATATCTTTGACTTACTAAGTGGCTGGCCTCTCGATGGCCCTGCCGGTGCTCAAGTGCTCGTTGAGGAAGCCGTCGTGCTTTGCCTTTTGCTGTTCATAGTCGACAGGCTCGCCGCAGGGAAAAACATGGCCACGTATCTTGGCCGGTAAGTCCTCTTTGGCCCAGAGAGCATCCATTTCAGATTCAGGCAGCTCCACGGCCGTAGCTCCAATCAAACGCACCTGCCAGGAGTCCAAGGTTTCCTTGTCCATGCCATCAACGTTCTTGACCAACGGCAGATAGAAGGTTAAACAGGCCTTTGGATTGGCTTGAAGATTCTTGCAGTTGCGCGTGTATCGATGGGTGATGTAGAACACATGGTTGTCGCTGGAGAGACCACGATACACGACAGTTCGGTTGAGCACACCAAATTCCTCGTCTATAGTGGCCAGATTCATCTCTATGAACGGTTTGCCTTGACCAGCTGTCTCTATCAGATGCTTAAACAGCTGCACAGGATCGATGGGAGGGTCACTGATTTTGGCTAAAGCTGATGTTTGTGCCATTTTCCTAAAATATAGTTTGAAATTTAAATCATGGCGGGCTTTTTGCTTCAACTGCTAGTTCCAGCGTGCTGTAAGGTGCGATAGGTGCCCGGAACCGATTGTTGTATCGAAATGACAGCTGTTCGTCGGCTGCGTTTACCAGAATTGTTACAATTGGTTCATCAATCGGATAAAATTATAGTTTTAGTGTCGAGAGTCCTAGCTAGCTGGTAATATTAAATATAACATCAACATCGAGGAAAGTGATTGCGGTATATTTTTGAGGGTCCGGAGGTATATTTGATCGGTAGTTCCGCGGTCACACTGCTGGTTATAATAATAATTGATGGTCGAATTTTGCTAAATTGTTCGCTGTTTGCTAACAGCTCAGCTTTTGCTGGCTGAAATCCGTACAATACCGACCATGACATCCATACTGGACATGAAGTCCGGCCCGCCGGACTACTGGGCTGAGATCCACAACTTCTTTCTGCCGCTCAAATATCTAGTGACCAACGACCGCTTCGATGCGTTTGTGCAGGACATTGACTTGTATTACCTGATAAATGCGGTCTTTTGGATATTTGTGGCACTGTCCTGTGGCTTCTATGGGTTTCAGCGTATTTTTCAGGTAAGCTTAAGGCGCTCCAGCAAGTGCAATCTTCCACGACGGCGTTCACACACTCTTTGAGGGGTTGCAGAAATAATTTCGCGTTTATAAATAAACACAGCTGGTCAGTGGCGGTCTGGGGGCCACAATGGGGGCGCCCCACAAGCACACAAGAAAATACACTAAGCAATGCCGCAATCCGCTCCTGGCAGACACAAAAGAGGGGCACCGTCCACCGTCCACCACCGACCACCGATTGCCCCGACCAAATATACATTCATTATCTGTTGCGGCGTCAGAACAATGCTCAACTAATTTCCCACCAACCAACCCATACCCAAACCCAACGCCAACGCCCACACCCCAACCAAACCCAACCCAACCCAATCGTTTTTCCCCCACTTTATTGGCAGTTGTTCCTCAAGTCGTCGAATATGAAGTACTTTAAGCGGAAACAATTCGCGAGACTGATCTGGAACATCGCCTTCTATGCAGCCAGCTGCCTATTTCTGCACTTTTACAATGAGTTCATGATATTGCCGCAGCTAATGAAGAACCAGGGGCGATACTCGCTCTTCTATTCGTCGGATAATCTCATCTTCTACCGCTCGCATCAGTTGGAGAAGTTTCAATTTTATTCAATATTTATCATCACGTTCTACCTGCACGGCGCCATGCTGGACTTTAAGGAGGCAGATTTCCTGGAGGTTGGCTCCAAGGGCCTCTACCTGTTATCCCTCGTCGCCATCGATGTGTACAGGCATGTCGCGTCTTGTTTTACTCTTATGGCACATCATTCTAAAGCCTTTTTCTCTTGTTTTTGTTTTTGTTTTTGTTTTTGTATAGATATGAAAACTATTTTGTTGGCCTTAATCTCACCGTGGGCCTGTACAGCATACTCACCGAAGTGCTCGCGTTGCTGTCCCTGCCCAGCGGCAATCGGAATCGTCTCGTCTATCAAACGTTCCTTGGCATGCGAATTGCAGCGTGGGCGTATGTGTTCATCAATCTGCTGCCCTTCAATTACTTTATACCCACACTCTTTGCCAAGAACTTCAAGCTGCCGCTGAATGTCGCCATTTGGCTGTGGTATGGCCTCTCCATTTGGAACTCCCCAGTGCTGCAGTACTTCTACCATCAGATCTATCACACAAATCCATCGGACTGCTCCGGCGAGGGTTCGGCGGCTAAGTAGGTGCCCCACACATTTGCTTGCACTTTGCTCTGTGTGCTGAAACTTCGCTTTGTTTCCCCATTTCAGATGCATTCTGGTGAAGGACTCCATTGACTATCGTCACTACAAGACGCTTAAGAAGGCCTATCTGGAGGTGAAGCTGGCGCACGAGAGGGCCACAGCCAATGCGCTGCCAGCCAGTGAATCTGCCTCGGCCTCGGTCAAAACATTTCAGGCCATCAAATGTAAGTTGGACAGTATGCAAATACGCTTTGTAATCTCTCGATTTGTTCCCTGTTTAGGCGTAATGATGCTGAAGCGTAAATTGAAGCGCATACGCGAGGGACGTGGACACGAGCCGGAGGATGAAAACGATGACCTGACCACTGACACCTAAACCTAAACCCTCCTGCAACTTGCAATTAGAAAAGACGCCGAATCCACGCATAGAGACACACACAATTCCTTCAACCAAAAAAGACAAACTTCTGCCTTAGGCTAAACAATTTCTGTCTCTCTCCCTCACTCTCTCCATGAGCAACGCTTGGCAAGACTCTGTCTGTCTGTCTGTCTGTCTGCCAGCTGCTTTCAAGATTTATTCTCTGAGGCTGAGCCACGTTTTATGTCTAGTATTTTATACAAAGAAAAATTGTTCCTCATATTTATTGGTTACACATTATAAGAGCAAATGCAAATGCAAATGCAAATGTCCATGCGTCTCTGCTGCTGCTCTGCTGCCGCTGCTCTCTGATACTAATAATATAGTTTATAATAATAAACCTAGAGGCTAATGTCTACATTTATGCAGAGCGCACACACACAACCTATGCTTCAGAGGACAGACCAGGGAAAACCTCAGGCTGGGGCTGGAGCTGCAGCTTGGGCTGGAGCTTGGCTTGAGCTTGGACACTCACTCCCCTGTTACTACCCTCCCTTCCTCTATCCCCTAGATGTATAAGTCGCCTTCAACTTATTGTTGTTGTTTATTCGCTGTGACTTAATGACATATTTGAAATATTTTTAATGTTTTTTTTTTGTTTTGTTTTTCGTTTCGTTTCGTTTCGTTTCGTTCCTTTTTAATTGAAATATATTCTATATTATGTGGGGCTAAACGAGCGCAATTGAAATGTTTTTGTGTGTGTTGTTGTTGTTGTTTATTTTTTTGCTGTTATTGGGTTTTGGGGTTTTCGCTCGAATTGCACTTTCACATTTCTCTCGTTGTTTTTTTCATTTTCTGTGTCATTTTTTGCTTTATTGATATCTTTGAAAAGAATTGTTATCTATGTTAATTTTTGTTGTTTCTCTTCTAGCCCTTTGTTATTTAGTTTTTCTTTTCTTTTCCTTTTATTTGTGTTTTGTTGTTGTTGTTTGATAACCTTGCAATTGAGGTTGGGCATACACAGTGTATTTTGTTTCACTTCGTTTCTATATATAAATATTTCTGCTCATTTAATTAAAGATCTTGCTCTCTCGCACTCTCGCAGCGATATCTTTACAGTCTCTCAGGCATGCCAAAAAGAAACCTTTAAACAATGATTTTGTGTTGTGGATCGCTCGACTACTATTTAATCTCTCAACGGACATTGCTGCTCAGTGAGAAATATTCCTAGCTGTGGGGAGAGAGTTTGAAATTGGAATCCAAATTCGTTAAATCGAAGTAGTCGTAAAAGTTCCGATCATTCTTTGGCTGCTAATAAATTAAGGCTCTGGATCACTTTTGGATATGCAATTTGCAGATGAAAAGAACTGTGTGCCCTCAAACAAATATTCATTCAATTGCAAGGGTATACCATGTTCCGGCTGGCCGAACTTCTTGTTAACATTGTTTTCTTTTGGGTCTTTTTTGTTCAGAGCGTTTGCCTCTGCCGCTGCCTATCTTTTCTTTTGTTTTCTTTTCGCTTTTCGCTTTTTCTTTCATTTTAAAAATTATTCTCACTAGAAGCTACAATTTTGTGTGTTTATTTTGTTTTGTTTTGTTTTACTTTTAATTGTATTTATTTTGTTTGCGGTTCGTTCTCTTTTTTTGCTTATGTCTTGTGTTGGTTTCTCTTTTCGCTCTTTTGTTTTTAATTGAATTTTAAACACTTTTTTTTTGGTTTTTGGTTGTCTTGTCCAATTCTTGCAATTTGCTTAGAAAATTGTATGGTGTGTGAATTTTTTGTTTTTTGTTTTCGTTGCGTGATGAACAAATTTGTTACGTGCCGCGAAATATATTCGTATTATTTGTTTTTAGTTTTTTTTTTTAGTTTTTGTTTTTGTTTTAGAAGATGTTGGAATTGGGTGAGTTAGTGGAGGGGTGAGGGGTGTGAAGTGTGGGTCGTGCCTCTGGCATTGAGCAAAAAAAAAGTATTCTCCTCTATTTTTTTTACAATTATTTTCCTCTCTCATTCCGTTCGAACCTCTTTGGGATTCTGCTGTTCCTTTCTTTTCTATTCTTTTTATACTTAGTTTTGTAAATCGTATAATTTTATAGTTTTTGTTTGCCTTCCTTCTGCTTTTGCTTAAACATCTTCTTGTTTTTTTAATCTTAATTGTTTTTCCACATTTGTGTTGTTATTTGTTTGTTGTTGCTTAAAATGTAATTCAATTCGTTATGTTGTGTTTGGTTTTTGTTTTTAAACAATTTTTACTAAAGTTTATCCCACTGCAAAAATGTTGCCTCTTGTTTTTGCCACACAATATAATCCGCTTATCAATGTTTAATTCTTTTTTGTTTTGTTATGTTAAAGTTAATGTTAATGTTAATGTTAATGTTAGTTGTATGTTAATTTTACTATTAAATATATGTTTTTAAAATTAGTGTTAGTTGTTCTTGTTGTTGAACGCTGCTCCTCCATCTCCGTCTCGATCTCCCAGTTAAAGGTACGTTATAAAAAAAATGTTTTCTTCTCTTACTTGCTTTTTGTTTTTTGTGTTCATAATTGTAGTTTTTAGTTCTTTGAATTCCCCCACAAAATCTCGCCCCGATTCCCAAATATATAGTGTATATGTATATATATATATATATATATATATGGTACGAGTATATCTAACTGTTTATGTATAAACCACCGCCACCAACCCGCAATGTTTTGTGGGCAGCTGTACCTGCAACCTGCAACCTGCCGCCTGCCGCCTGCAACCTGTACCTGCACCTGTGCCCTTGTCTCAATTTTTGGCGACGCTTCTTTCTTTCTGGTAAAAAATACTTCAATTTCATATTTTTAAAACCTAATTTTCGTGTTTTGTTTTGTTTCGCTTTTGTTCCAATTTGTCCCATATAAATATTTTGTTTTTAAATCATTTACATTTACATTTCGATTTCGATTTCGATTTCGATTTTCCTTTCTTTGTTACTCGCTTACTAATTTATTTTCGTTTAATGACTAGTGATATATATGACACACAAACACATGCAAACATAATGATTATTTTGTTGTGGAACAGCTGAACTTTTTCGTACTTAAAAATCCTCGCGTCTGGCGCTTATACTCTCATCATCATCATGATTATGAAACCTTAGAGGTTCATTTCGTTTTTGTGGCGTCCACACACACACACACACACACACACAAGTTTTCCGAGAACTTTCAACAACAACAAAATGTTAATTAAGGAATGACTGAAATATTTCATATAACAGGACATTCCATTGCAGTCCATCTGGCATTGTTTTCTGGCATCATTATTTCTTTGGCAGACTCATCATAATAATGACAAAATAAAAAGCACACAAATCACGTACACAAATATTCTGTGTTGAAAATCAATTAACTCTCTCTCTCTCTCTCTCTCTCTCTCTCTGTAAATAATCAACTCAGATGTATACCCTACAAGGGCGTACATTAAAGCAGTGCAAAACGTGCGAAGAGATGAACTTGTTAGTAAATTCACCTTGAATCGCGTACCCATCTGCCAAAACCCCCTTTATGTGCGATACAGTTATAGCTTTATTGGTCCTCTAACTGGTTAGGGTGTTTCAGCTTCGGTGTGGAGTCGCCTCCAATCATTTGCACTTGTCACAGTCGGCACATAATGCGCGCCTGAAAAGGGAATGCCAAATGGCAACAAAGTGCCAAAAAAAAAAAGGAAAACTTTCCGAATGAAATCAAATTCAAATTAGCCAAAACGGACGCCCCCCCAAATTGTGAAGGTGTGTGGCAGTGAGTGTGCGGGGCTTTGTGCCACGATAATGAGCCAGATGAAAATGAGCAGAAAGCAGCCAGCAGGCAGCAGTAGCAACAACAACAAAAGCCCCACAACGACTATAACAATTCAAATATAATGAATGAAATTACGTTGAAAACATATTTTTGCTCTGTTCCGCGAGGCCCACAAACAACCAACAACAACAAAAAGGAATCACAACAACAACAAAAAAGATGCTGTAAAAATGCTCGACAAAGTTTGTCCTGACCATTTTTGCGAGTGGGGTGAGCGGGGGAACAGGACCAGAGGGAGGCTGTTTTTCCTATTAGCAAGCAATAAATTTGTCGCTCTTATTGAGCCCAAAAGGTAGGTGGCGGCTGGGAGACAACACAGAGCTAGAAGTAGAGCTACAAAACACAGATAGGACATGGGACATTAAACGATGCAGCGGACAAGGGGAAGAAACAGGAAGGGACAGGACACATAGTAGAACGGGAAACGGAAGTGGCAGGCGGCAGGCGGCAGGCAACCGGTAGATAGATGGCTGCGTAGTGGAAAATGTCGCCCAAGGGTGTAAAGTTGCTTTTTGGTTCAGTTCGGTACGGTGCGCAGGCGGTGGTGGACCGTGGACAAGGGCCAGGCCATGCGGACAGTAGAGAACTGCTTGCCAACTGAACTGCTTGCTGGTGGTGTAGGCGCTTCGGGAGGCTATAACTTTATGATTGCTTTTGTATTGCCTCCTGCGTTTGGGCCGGACACGCGACACTCTGGCTCATAGATAAAATGCCGTTACAGTGGAAATGGCCAATGATGGACATTTCCGGGAAACCTTTTTGTTCGTTTGTGTTTTACTTATTTTTTTTTTTTGTAACTGTTACTGCCACTCCGGGGGCCAGGGAAACAATGGGAATGTCGTTTAGCATATGTTGAGGCAACACGAATTCCACGCCAGCGAATCTCTACTGTGAAATACTTTTAGGCTGTGCGAAAGTGAGAACAAACAAAACCCACACCGATACGCAGCGCTCATCGGCATTCAGCCCGGTCACCGGAGAAGGAGTGAGACCCCAAAACGACCGAAACATAAATGAATGAAACAAAGGCAATTACAACAAAGAAAACAAAAGCAAACAAGAGCAAAGAAAACCATAGAAAGTCGGGAGCCATGGGAGACATGCGAATGGTTGGCCAATGGAGCCACAGGAGCAGGGCTAATGTCCTTTTTGTGTGTGTGGCCAGGCCACACACTTTGCATTGTTATGACACTCTTTTCACCCTTCCATGCTGTGCTGGTCACTCCCCCCTTCTGATGTCCACATCCACTGCTTTAGTTTTAATCTCACCTCACTCCACTACTCTCTCTCTCTCTCTCTCTCTCTGCCTCTGCCTTTGGCTTTGCACAGCCACAAAGTTGCACTGCCTGCCCTGCCCTGCCCTGCCCTGCCTAACGGTCTCCATTGCACGCTCAAATGTTGCTCTGCCCTTCCACTGCCTTTCATCTGCAGCAACATTGTTGTTGCCCTTTTGCTGTTGCTTGTTCCCACAACAATTATGATTCCTCTTCCCCCCATTGGACTCTAATTCATTGTGTGGCGGCCATTGATGGGTGGATTTTGTGGATGTGGCCCATTAAATGCAAGTGCCTTGCCTTGCCC